GAGCCATGCCAGGTGCAGGGTCTGCTAGCTGGGTGCTGGCAGGCTTGCACCTGGCACGGGCACCGTAGCCAGCCCATGCCCCTTTAAGGGCTCCGGGGCCGGGAGGGGGACAATAGAGTTTCCTTGGGTGTTGGCCAGAGTGGCCACCAGGGAAAGCTGGGGAGGGCTAGCCTCCCATTAGTTCGAATTAAGGGGCTACACACCCCTGAATTCGAACTAGGCTTAGTCCTCGTAGAATGAGGTTTATCTAGTTCGAACTAAGCGCTCCGCTAGTTCGAATTAAGTTCGAACTAGCGGAGCGCTAGTGTAGCGCCTATCAAAGTTAATTCGAACTAACGTCCGTTAGTTCGAATTAATTTTGTAGTGTAGACATACCCTCATATACAACGTTTACATTTTTTTGAAGTTAAATTAAGACACCACTATGAACTTCAAATGATAATACACACAGGCAAAGATAGCTAATCCTACCTCCTTCTAAAACAAACTGATGTCTATGCTCTCATTTTACAAGGATTATAAAACTGAGGTTTATTTTGTCTGAGTGATAGCTATTGTGTCATCCTATACATATGATGTCCTGTAATCAAATACAGTAATTCCTCATTTAACACGTACCCGCTTAACACGTTTTCATGATAGCATGATTTTTTTTTTAGCGAACTTTTTTTGAATTACACGACCATCCCCGGAAGAACACGATTTCCCTAGCTGTCCCGTCGCCGGCGGCTGCATGGGGCTTCCCCTGCCACCCTGCAAAGCGGCGGAGGGTTTGATGCTCGCCGCGCCGTTCACCGCTGACTCCCCCTTGCTGGACGCCTTGCCCCCTCTCCTCCACCCCAACTTGCAGGGTTTTCCCATCTGTCCTGTCACTGGCGGCTGCACTGGGCTTCCCCCGCCTCCCTTCAAAGTGGCGGAGGGTTCGCTGCTCGCCGCACCGTTCCCTGGCGACCCCTCCTCGCTGGACGCAATGCAGGTCCTGGCAGACCCGTCACAGGGGCATACTCCCAACCCAATCCCCCTCCCCTCTCCTCTCCTTCCCTTCCCCAGAGCCAAACACCTCCCCTCCCTGCTGTAACCCATCTCCTTTTTCCCCCAACTTTATGTCCTGGTCCCAACAGATGCTACCGCTTGAAACACAACCCCCACCTTTTCCATTATTTTCAATGGGAAAATTGACCCCGCATATCACGTTTTCACTTAACACGATCATTTTCTGAAACATATCTATAGTGGTAAATGAGGAATTACTGTATACAAAATCTAAAATAAATTTACCATGATTAGAAAGCAAAATAAAATGGTGCCTGATATAGTTCTCTTAACTCAGCAGAACTGATACCCCACAATACCTTATGATCTGGTACTTCTGTTCCTGGTACCGCTTTCATGTGAAAATTCACAACTCCAGCTTTGTTCAGTGATTCCAACAGATTTGCCTTTCCATCCATATATGGCTTTTCCTTCTTCAATCTTGCTTCTTGTCTCTCCTGTGCCAATCTGCATCAGGCAGTGCATGGTTTAAGCTTGTCATGACAAAAGCAAAAATTACAAAGCATCTGTATGTAAAGCCAGCATTAGAGACGTATTCCTCCCACAGTTATTTACTCTGAGCAAATATGAACACAAGAAAGATATTTTTCACCAATTCCCATTAAATATCTGAAACGAGGGAGAAGGTCCCCACCCAACTAACTTTTTAAACAAGAAAAACAGAGCAAGCATGATACAAATGCTTGATACATGCTTCAAATGTGCCAACACACGATCAGCTTCAATGAAAAATAAATAAAAACCATTTAAAGCAGTTAATAGAGAGCACCAGGAAAAGAGTAAAGGGGGGAGGGGTATTGCAAAATTGGCAAAACAAGCATAAAAAAACCAAATTGCTGTACAAGTTGAACCTCTAAAATCTGTGACTCTCTAGTCCAGCAGGACCATGGATGTTGCTCGACAAGAGAGCCCCAGCTGGGGCTAGAGGCAGTTGGGCTAGTGGCCAGGAGTGCAGCCCCGCTGAGACTGGCAAGGTGGAGAGCGCAGCTCCAGCTGGGGCTGGTACAGTGCGAAACACAGCCTCAGTTAGGGCTGGTGCCATGTGCGAGTGCAGTCCTGGCTGGGGCTGCTGTTGGAAAGTGCAGTCCTGGCCAGGGCTGGAGTTAGCAGGGCCGGCAGCTAGGCACACAGCCTGGGCCAGCGCCGTGGGCAATGCAGCCTCAGCCATGGCTGGAGGCAGCAGGGCTGGCCCCTGTCTGGGGCTGACATGGTGAGGGATACATCCCCAGCCAGGGCTGGTAGGGTGGGGGGCTGGAGGCAGCAGCAGAGAGCAGAGCCCTACACCTGGGTAAGAAGCCTTGACCTCCCCTTGTCCAGCAAACTCTGTGGTTCGGGACTGCTCAGGTCCTGAGGGTGCCAGACAAGGGAGGTTTGATCTGTAATACCCAGACTGCTTTTTTATTAAGTCTGTTAAAATCCCATTTAATTGGATTTGAAAAGAAAGCAAATCCACTGGCCTTTACAGGTTCATTATAGGAGAGTATTCATTAATTAAAAACCTCTGACAAACAAACTATTAATAAGTCTTCTTAATACAGTATTTGACAAATATAAAGGTAAAAATTCAGGCCACGTACATTTAAAGTTTGTAGGATGATTTGTATTTTCCACAATTCTAGCAAAATGATACACAGAGTTTGACAGTATGTAGCAAAGTTGTTCAACAAGCAACAATGTAACTTTACCTGTGCAAAAAGCTTTCTTTGGCCAATTCAATTTGTAGTGTTCCACCTTTCCACCTTGCTTTATTTAAAATGGACATACCTAAGAAACAAGCATTAGATAGAAAATGACTTATCCTCATCTATTTTAAATAATGTTTTAATCACATCTCTTTTTGCTATATTTTACATTTTGGAGCATTATGAGACTCAATTAGCCCATTCTGTTCATTACAGATAGCAAATTTGAGGGTCTAGTGCGAAAGCAAAAGACAAAATGTTTTTAACATCTAGACCCTATTTTGATTAACAGTACAGGCAGTCCCCGGGTTACGTACAAGATAGGGACTGTAGGTTTGTTCTTAAGTTGAATCTGTATGTAAGTCGGAACTGGCGTCCAGATTCAGACGCTGCTGAAACTGACCGCCAGTTCTGACTTACATACAGATTCAACTTAAGAACCCCAAGAGTCCCCAAGTCAGCTGCTGCTGAAACTGATCAGCGCTGTTTCCAGGAAGCCTGGGGCAGAGCAACTCTGCCTCGGGCTTCCTGTAGTCAGCGCTGGTCAGT